GCAGGCCCACACACCATCGGATGCCGAATCTCATCTTCGCATACCTCCCATCTCTTCATGATTCTGGCGACGCCCCCCCTCCTATCTCTATTCGCGTCCCTCCTATCTCGTCGTCTCCCCTCCCCTTCTGAAAATATTCGACTCCTCTCGTCTGCACCGAGAGGCCACTTCCTGACCTCCCCGTGAGCTTCCAACCCCACCAGACAAGACACTTCTCCCGCGCCGGCCCCGAGGCCCACCGTCGACTGGCGCTCCCTGGGCCCCCCCCACCCTAGCCTTACGTCGGGCCTGTCCCCCTACAGGGGGATTTTCGACGAAAGATAAAACAAAACACCAAAAACGCAAGGTCAAAAAATACGACAAAAATAATCCCCAGACCTATGTTTGGACGATTTCTTGACTATTTTGGGGGGTCTGTTATGTTTTTCGTCGAAAATCCCCCTGTAGGGGGACACGTCCGACATAACCCTAGTGCGGGATGACGATGAATAAAAAATGGGAGAGAACGAATAAAAAATAGGTTCCTGCTATTTCTGCAGAACTTTCGGACTGGAGGAGAACCATTTAAAAAATGGTTTTCCAGCCCGCGGCTGGTTTTTTCTAATCGTCATCCCGGGCGCCGCCGCGTGAACACAGCCCCCGGTCATTTATTAATCGTCATCCTCCATTAGGGGGAGGGGGGAAGGCTTCTTAGAAGCACCCCTGCTTCTTAGAAGGCGCGGGCCTTGCCTGTAAATGTGAGGCCCGCGGCTTCTAAGAGGCAGCCTCCTTCTAAGAAGCCTTCCCCCCTCCCCCTACTCCCCTTGTGCGCGCCGCCAACCCAGGACAGCACCGACCGGCATCGGATCGGATAAGCGGGCTGCAGAGGCACGGAGTCGGAATCGAACCGGGTCGGCCTCGCCAGGATGCACGACCACGCCATGAAACCTTCGGGCCGCATCGGATCGGCGGAGCTTCGAGCTCGGCTCGGACAGGGCCGGCTGGAGTCGATATCGGATCGGATCAATCGGATCGAAATGGACCCTGCAGGACAGCTTTGTAATCTCGGCTCGTTCTCCGGCAACGCCAAGGCTCAGGAGGCGCCCATGGGGACCGCAGACGGCGAAAAATCTCTAGACCCCTTGATCTGAGGACCCCCTCCTGTTCATGTTGAGCATATGCGCACGGGAGTCGCTTCTCGACAATGACGTGCGTGCGGGGCTTCGGGGCCCTCCTGGGCACGAGACTGGGGCGAACTCACACCCCTTCCCCCCAAAGGGCCGATCGCGGCATTCTGAAGACGGTGGGGGACTGCCAACAGATTGTTCTTGTCCGGGTCTGGAACCACTGAGCCCCAAAAGGTTGTCATCTCTGGGGGGTCGTGCCTTAACTTCGCCTCATCGGGTTGCCCAGAGAGTGCGGTGAAGCTAGGAACTGGATGGCACCGTCACGCCCACCGGGCCAATTTCAAAACCACTGCAAGCGCACCTCTGGAGGGTCGGGTCGAGCGGGCGGACCCAAACGGGCGGGTCGGGCGGGCGGACCCCAACGGGCGGGTCGGCGCGGCCGGCCGGGACATTAAAGTGTGGGGAACGCTCGACCGAGCACGCGCGAACCCTAACGGGCAGGTCGGGTCGGGCGGGCGGACCCTAACGGGCGGGTCGGGTCGGGTCGGGCGGGCGGACCCAGCGGGCGGGTCGGGCGGGCGGGACCTTAATGTGTTGGGCGCGCTCGACCGAGCACGCGCGAACCCTGACGGGAGGGTCGCGTCGGGCGGGCGGATCTTAGCGGGCGGGCCGGGTCGGGTCCGGCGGAATGACCCTAACGGGCGGGTCGGGTCGGGCGGGCGGGACATTAAAGTGTGAGGCGCGCTGGACCGAGCACGCTCGAACCCGAAAGGGTGGGTCGGGTCGGGCGGGCGGACCCTAGCGGGTACATCGGGTCGGGCAGTTTCGCCGACGGCAGCTGGTTTCGCCGACGGCAGCTGGCTTCGCCGACAGCAGCTGGTTTCGCCGGCGGAGCTGGTTTCGCCGACGGAGCTGTTGGTTTCGCCGTTTCACTGGGCGGCGAAACCAGCCCAGCGAAACCAGCCGTCGGCGAAACCAGCGGTCGCCCCCTCGACGGGGTCCGTCACAGCCACGGGCGCACTCCGTAAATCATGAAAACATCCTCCTATGGGCGGCGCGCACAGGGGGGTAGGGGTAGGGAGGGAAAGGCTTCTTAGATGGATGCTGCTCCTTAGAAGGTGCGGGTTTCTACAACAGATGTAGGGCCGACGCCTTCTAAGAAGCCGCCTGCTTCTAAGAAGCCTTCCCCCCCCTGGGGACAGATGTAGGGCCGACGCCTTCTAATAAGCCGCCTCCTTCTGAGAAACATGTCCCCCTCCCCCCCATACTGGGGAAACCAAAAAGCACCGATACCGCTACCACCAGGACCTCTCCCGGGGTGCGTTCTGACCAGATGTTGAAGCGAATCCACTGGTGGCGTCGAGGGCCGCCCAGGATGCCCAAAAAAGCGATAACGAGGGAAGGGCAAAGGAATGGGTGCCTTTTGCTTCTCTGACCTGCCCCCCTGTGCGTGCGGCTAATCCTCGCGCTGGCCCCTCAGCATGGGATCCCCGGGCGCCTCCCTCACGAGACCCATGTTGCATCACAGCAGCAATTCGGCCCCTGACCTTCGCCCTGGGCTCGGCTCAATGAAGTGATGACTTTCGGGGCCCCTTCACGCGGGAAAGGCATCGCTTCACTCATCTGGGGCCCCTGGGGCCTCAGTGGGCCCTGGGGCCCAACGCTGGTGACGTGATGGCTTTCGGGCCTCGGATCCCCTGGAGGAGGAGGAGGAGGGGGAGGAGGAGGAGGAGGAGGAGGAGGAGGAGGAGGAGGAGGAGGAGGAGGAGGAGGAGGAGGAGGAGGAAGAGGAGGAGGAGGAGGAGGGAGGAGGGAGGAGGAGGAGGGGGCGGAGGAGGAGGAGGAGGAGGAGGAGGAGGAAGAGGAGGAGGAGGGGGGACAAGCTAGGTGCGCTCGCGTCATATCTGACGTCCTACCCCTCCCTCCCATCCCTTACCATGGCGCTGATTTTCTCTATCCGCGGACGCGTGTCGTAGCGGACCTGTGGCTCCGCGCGCGCGTGCGTAGTGGGTGGTGGTGCACGTGCGTGCGTGCGTGCGTGTGTGCGTGGTTGTCGTGGTGGTGGTGGTGGTGGTGGTGGTGGTGGTGGTGGTGGTGGTGGTGGTGGTGGTGGTGGTGGTGGTGGTGGTGTGGTGGTGGTGGTGGTGTGGTGGGTGCTGGTGGTGGTGGTGGGTGGTGGTGGTGGTGGTGGTGGTGGTGGTGGTGGTGGTGGTGGGTGGGTGGTGGTGGTGGTGGTGGTGGTGGTGGTGGTGGTGGTGGCGGCGGCGGGTGGTGGCGGGCGGATGGGCGCGCGAGAAAAAGGCCCGCGCTGGGGCGAGAACGCCATCCTGAACGACGGAGGCCAAACACCGATCCGAAAATGAGGCCCACGCTGCAGCGGGAGCACGATTCGGAACGATTCGGGAGCAGAAATGAGGCCGGCGCCTCAACGAGAGCAGCATTTTGGGAAAAAATGACGCCGGCGCCTCAGCGAGAGTCGTTTCCCGGGATTTCCCGGCATCCTGTGTGTTAAAAAACAGTACGCGGAGGGTGCGCGGCCATCACCCGGACGCCATCAGGGGAAGAGGGAGAGTATTTTCAGATTGAGTAATTGTGGAAGAGGAGGAGGAGGAGGAGGCGGAGGAGGAGGAGGTGGAGGAGGGGCCGCCGCCCGCACAGTTGGGGCGGGCTCGGAGCGCGGGCGCCCCCTCGAGCCCCAGGCCGCCGCCGCCCGAGGCCGAGGGCGCGGCGGGCGGCGGCGTCGCGTGGCGGCATCGCGGTCTCGTGCCGCGGGGGCGTGCGCCTCGCCTTCGCTCGGGCGTGTCCCCCTACGGGGGGATTTTGGACGAAACATAAACAAATAAAAAAACAGTTCAAACATGGCACAACAAAAATGCTCAAAGCATCGTCCCCGAACTATTGTTTGATGATTGTTGGATGCTCCTCCTGTAGAGGGACAGGCCCGGCTGAATCTTATGCTGCATCCTCGGGGGAGCCCTGTCTGTCCCGTCGCGACTGCATCCGTGTCGAATCCGTGTCGGATCCGTGTCGGACTCGTCGGACCTGTGTCGAATCAACGTCGAATCCGCGTCGGATCCCCGCCAAATCCGCGTTTCGTCCGCGTCGAGCCCGCGTCGGGCCAAAGAAAAGACACCAATTTTGCAGACCGCAGGCGTGGTCCCCCGAAGATGCCACGGAACGCGTCGGCACGTGGCGCGCAGCTTGTTATCCTCAGCTTGACTGCGGGCCCGTGCGCGCCGAGGGGTGCTCTGGCGCCTGCTTGGCCGGATGGTGCCGTCGGCAGAGGTTGACTGGGCCTCTGATTCCCGATAACTGCTGTCTCGGGACGGGGCTCGACAGCTACTTCCCCCGTGGAGGGAAGGGCGCTCGGGGAGAAAACGTGCCGCCAGGTGGTGGTTGATTTTGTCAGCTGCACACGAGGAAATGTCTACAGCATGTGGTGGTTGATGTTTTAGCTGAGTGCGCAAGGATTCGGGGGCGGCCAAGAGGGGGGTGTCCAAGAGGGGGGGGTGCAAATCATGACCGGCGGCATGTGCGCGGCCCAGCGGGGGGGCCAGGGACGTAATGAAATAAGAAGAGGCGCCATGAAATCTGGGAAATATCATGGCCCCCGCCATGATATCCACCCCCCCGTAGTCATCATCCCCCTCTTTTCCGCCTCCGAAGGATGTCTGTGGAAGGGCCGACCACCCGACCACGGCAGGCCTGTGGGGTGAGGGTCCCCGGGCGGCCTTGACAGGCCCCCCTTTACACGGCAGAGGTGGGACCCGAGGACCCCTGTTTATCCCACTCATCCTCCTCGTCCTCGTCCTCCTCCTCCACCTCTTCCTCCTCGCCCTCCTCGTCCTCCTCATCCTCCTCGCCCTCGCCCATCGCGGAGAGGGCCAGGCGGGCCTGATCGCAGAGGCGAGCTGGCGATGGCGGTCGCGCTCGCAGCTGCCTGTGCGCGGGGCACCCGGCGCTGCGGGGGGGGGGGCGAAGGGTTCACGAACGGCGAACGAATCCATATCCACGCCCTCGCGGTCTCGATTCTGGTTTGCGATCCTGCGGGTGCGCGATCACACGGACACTTTCCGCGCGGGGCATGGGGGCCCAGCCCGCAAGCCCGCGGATACGGATATGTTTTTTTAGCCCACGCAGGGGGGGGGGGGGGCGAGGAAGAGACGACGAGTGCGGTAGGATGTCCACGAGGAACAGGCTGGGAATCAACGCCTGGGACATTTCCATGTCCATGGGGTCAGCCAGGAACCACGAAATCCAGAAAATGGGCCACTTTCTACCCTACGATGCAGGATCGGGCAACGTGAAACGAAACATAACACGATTTTCAAACGGACTGAGCTGGGTCAGGCTAGACGCGAGGTACGCCTGCATGGTCGTGGAAAGGCCTGCCAGGGCTTCATCGGACTGCAGCGCCTCCCCCACCCTTACCCCCCCCCCATCAGCACACACACGCACACACACACAACATACATACACAAACACATCAGAGACCTTCGAGGGCCTCGCAGCCGCTGGCAGCCATAACCACAAACACACACACTCACACACACACACTCACACACACACACACACACACACACGCACGCACGCACGCACGCACGCATGCACTCACGCACGCACGCACCCACACCCACACCCACACACACACACAGACACACAGACACACAGACACACAGAGGCACACACACACACACACTTTTGCGTCGGCGGCTAGGCAGAGTGACTGCGCTGGCGCAACAGCACTGGTAGCGAATTAAGCCGCAAGGCCTAGGGGAGAGAGGAAAAACGCCCGGCGGTGGCGGGAGGGAGACGGAAGCCAGGCCCGCGCAGAGCGGGGGCTGGGCGGCGGCGAGGGGGCGTCGGGGGCGGGTGCCAGCAGCAGCAGCAGCAGCGGGGCGGACCCACACACACACACACACACATACACACACACCCACACACACACACACACGCGCGCGCACACACTCGCGCGCACACACACGCGCGCACGGACATACGCACACACAAACACAAACACACCCACACATACGCACACACAAACACACACGCACACACACACACACACACACACGCACACACGCACACGCACACACTCTCGCGCGCGCACACACACGCACGCACGGACATACGCACACACAAACACAAACATACACACACAAACACACACACACAACACACACACACCACACGCTGTGCCCTCCGACGACGCTGCAGAGACACCAATCTGCGGAGATCGGGTCACGCGGGGCACGCGCAGGCTGCATTCGACACCGTGCGCGGTGGACACGCAGCTTGAACGCGGACCAGCCCAGGGGTCTTCGAACTGGCACGGCTCGAGGAACTGCTGGGGAAACCAGAAGGTACCGATACCGCTGCTCCTCAGGCCTCTCCCGGGGTGCGTTTTGACTAGGACTTCGAGGCGAATCCAGCGGTGGCGACGAGGGCCTCTCCCCAAAGAGGGGAAAGCGAGGGAAGGGTAGAGGTATGGACACATTCTCCCCCTCTGAACTACACACAACACACACACACCACATACAAGCACAACACAGTGGCCGATGCGGCCCGCCGCAGGACACCTCGACTGGTGCTCTCCTCCTGCGGGGGGGGCGGACTGCCGCTCCTCTGGCTCCTCGGCGGCATGCTGGCCGCACTCGCCGGGCTGGGAGGAGGGGGAGGAGGAGGAGGAGGAGGAGGAGGAGGAGGAGGAGGAGGCGGAGGAGGAGGAGGAGGAGGAGGAGGGGGGAATGGAAACCTTCTGATGCATCTTTGGGGAACCTTGTCTGTCCCGTCGCGGCCCTATCCGCGTCGAGTCCGTGTCGACTGCGCGTCGGCCCCGCCGGATCCGCGTCGGGTCCGCGTCGGGTCCGCGCCGAGTCCGCGCCGCGTCCGCCTCGAGGCCGCGTCGGGCACGAGCAAAGGCACCAGTGTTCGTCGGGACGCGCGAGGAGGAGGAGGAGGAGGAGGAGGAGGAGGAGGAGGAGGAGGAGGAGGAGGAGGAGGAGGAGGAGGAGGAGGAGGAGGAGGAGGAGGAGGAGGAGGAGTCATGGGGGGGCGGGGGCGCGGAGGCCCGCGAGTGCCCAGGGGATGGGGGGAAGGGGCGCGGGGCCCCCCCGAAGAGGCAGGCGCAGGACGCCCTGCGCTCGCCCAGGCCTGGCCCGCTCGTCGCCTCGGCGCCGTGCCGGTGCTGCCGCGGAGGGGCCGTCGACCGACCGCCTCGCAGTCGGGGGCGTGACCTGAGGAGCCCTAAGTAAGGAACGAGGCCCCTTTTCTCCATGAGTGGACCTTCGATTTCCCATGGTGGAAGACCTCAGGAAAATCCGGGGCAAACTTTGAAAGAATCAAGGAACACCGAGCCCCTCCCCAACGAAAAGGGTTCCTTCTTCAGGGCCCCGACTGGACGAAGGCAGGCAGTCGCAGGCGAGCGAGGCGGGGAGCAAAAGGGCCTACGCTGGGAGAGGTGGGGTCGCCCTGGAGAGGAGGCCGCGAAAGCAGCCTCGCGGGCGCCACGGAGGACGTGACGTGTCCTGGTGACTGCGCAGGTGGCGGAGCAAGGGAACAGACATGGAGTACGGGTGGAGAAACAGTGCTGCTGCTTGAAATGCGGCGGAAGAGACCGGGGGCATTGCTGGGTCGCCCACCGAATCCCCTGGAACCCTCCCCCATCCCTCCACATCCCCCCTCCGCAGCCTCGAAGACTCTGGAAACAACGGGAAGCATTCGGAAACATCCAAACAAGTCCACCTCACCTGAGAAGTCAAAAAACCAATTCCAAAGAACCCCCTCCTCCTGCTCCCCCACCCCTTTCTCCTGCTGCTCCCCCCTCCACTTCCTTGGGAAACCACAAGGTACCGACACCGCTACTCTCCAGACTTCTCTCTGGATGCGTCATGACCAGAATTATGAAGCTAATCCAGTCGTGGCGACTAGGGCATCCCAGGAGGCCCAAAAACATGAAAACGAGGGACGGGTAGCGCTATGGGTACCTTTTGCTCTTATGACTTTCATCGCCAGCACCTTCGTCGCCGCCGACGCCGCCGTCGTCGTCGGCCGTCGTCCCAGCCACAGCCCCCGCCGCCGCCCCCGTCGTCACAGCCAGGGCCACTGTCTGGCTACTGAGGGAGGCAAAAACTTGCCATCGCTTCGGCGTACATTCCCCGTGCACGTTACGGCTTCGTGCGTGTATTCTCGCGAGATGACCGAAAAGACTCCTGAATGGTCCTCGCCGAGAAAAAATGCACACGTCGGAGCGGCGCCAGGAAAAAAGGTACCAATACCGCTGCTCCCCAGACGTCTCCAGGGGTGCGTTCTAACCTGGATGCCTAGGCGAATCCAGCCGCGGCGGCGAGGGAATCCTGAGATCCGACGCTGCGACAACTATGGCAACACCCATAAAAATTGCGAAGGGAGCGCCAGACCACATCTGTCTGACGCAGTCTCCGTGACAGAATCGATCCATGCTGGCCCCGGGCCAGAAAACGTGCGACAGCGCCCAACGGCCACACGACGGATCTCAGGGACATGGGCAGCGGCACATCGGTACACAGATGTGCAAATGCTCCTCCTCTGAGGGCTCTCGGACGTCGCCGACGGCCCGCCACTGCCGTTATGTCGGGCCTGTCCCCCTACAGAGGGATTTTCGACGAAAAATCAAAAATACATTCAAAATGCACCAAAAAGGCAACAAAAATACTCAAAACATAGTCCCCTGACTATTTTTGGATTATTTTTGTATTACCTTGGGGGTATTTATTATTTTTCGTCGAAAACCCCCCTGTAGGGGGACAGGCCCGACTTAACACTACCGCCCTCTGCCGCACGCCCACGGGCCAATCCCCCCCCCGTCCCTGATGGCTTTTGGGACATGGCTCGGGCCTCCGGACGCCGCTCGGGACGAGCCCGGCATCCCAGGAATGCCTCAGACGAGGCGCAGCTGGCGGAAACCACCCCAGGCCTCGAAGACGCCCGAAAACCACTCCCACGACTCCCTGACGTCCCCCCTTCGCAGTGGAGTCTTCGCGATGAAGCCTGGGATCCCCCTCTTCCTCGGCATCTCTCCTCCACCCCAGGTGGGGCTGTCGTGACAGGCGTGGGGAAGCGTGTGCTTGGCACGAGCACCTAAAACGGCACTGCAAAGTCTCCCCTGGGGCCTCTGTTGTTCTCATCGCACTTGAGGACCACATCCCAGACATGATTTCGAGCACCCCGAAAAGTATCGTAACAGTGTCTGCCCGACACGCTGGCGAAGTGCCGAACGAGTATCACCGTTCCCAGTGCCGGACACGTGAAAACCCTCCGGTTTCGATACTTGCTTGGTGCTCGGAAATCCTCCTGGTGATCCAGGCTAAAAATTAAGTTGGAGCATCATAGCCCTGGTCCCCCAAGGGGACCCCAAGGACCCCAAGGCTTCTGACATGCAAGATACGCCAAGGATCCCCGACCCGAGAAAGCCCTCCCTGGGCTTAGGCCGGGTATGTCCTCCTACAGGCGGAAATGAGAAGAGAAATGGAACAATGCCAAACCATATTCGTAAAGAGCGGAGTATGACCGACAAAAAGAATCGCAACAGCGTCCCCAGACTATGCGCAGACTTCACGATGCGCCGTCGACGGCAACACCACACCGCTCACCCTCCGGGACTTCGCCTCCGGCTCCTGTCCAGGGCGTTCCTTTTCCTGTGCAAGCTCCTCAGCACCGCCTGCACCCCGGCCCGCCCGCCGGCCACCTGATGCCCCGCCCGCCTGTGCTCTGCCTCCCCAATTCGTGCTTTGCGCGGCCCGCCTAGCTCTTAACCGGTAGAGGCTCGCCCTCGACCCGCAGACCAAACAATAGTAGATAGAGATGCCCGGCTCAACCCTGGGCCCCTCTCCCCCCCCGCCTCCGCGGCGCCACCGCTGCCGCCGCTGCCGCGGCAGAGGCCGCGGACGCCCCCCTCGGCCGCGTCCGCGGCGGGCCCCGCGCCGCGCCGCGCCGCTCCTCCTCGGGGCGGCAGCGCGGCACGGGGCTCCCTCGGTGCAAGTAGCTCCCAGACGGGCGACGATCAAAAACGGGTCTTGCGCGAGATGGCGTAGCGACCTAACGCGGTGGCTTACAGTGGGGGCGTTGACCTAAGGAACGCTAAATAAGGAGCGAGGCCCCTTCTTCCCATCAGTTAAAAATCGATTTCCCATCGAACACCGGAGGAAAACCTAAGGCAAACTGTGCACCAATCATGGAACACGGAGCGCCTCCCCAACGAAAAGGGTTCCTTCTTCAGGGCCCCGACTGTACGCGAGCAGGGGCAGCGCACGCCCGAATGCCAGCACAGACGACCCCGTTTTTCCCAGCCATCCTGTGGTGTTGGGTCCCCGTTTTGAAGAGACGGTGCCCCGCGTTCTCCTCCTCCCGCCTCCTTCCTCCCTCCACCTTCTCCCCCGCATCCCTCCTCTCTGCGTTTCACCCACCCAGTACCGCGATTCATGGCCCCATAGAGAGCTCCACCGAAGGCCCAAGTGCCACCGTCCACATGCGTCCCGAAAACCCACCATCGAACCCCCCAATGTGACCGTCCGCATGCGTCCCGAAAACCCAATTTGGCATTTTCACCCACCCGGTACAGCGCTTCGTGGCTCCATAAGGAGCTCCACCTAAGGCCCCAGTGGGAGGGGCTACATGCGTCCCGGAAACCCAATGTAGCATTTTCACCCACCCAGTACCGCGCTTCGTGGCCCCATAGAGAGCTCCACCGAAGGCCCAAGTGCCACCGTCCACATGCGTCCCGAAAGCCAACAACCGAAACCCCAAGTGGGACCGTCCGCGTGCGCCCCGAAAACCCTGATTTGGTATTTTCACCCACCCGGTACAGCGCTTCGTGGCTCCATAAGAAGCTCCACCGAAGATCCCAGTGCCACCGTCTGCATGCGTCCCGGAAATCCAATTTTGGCATTTTCATCTACCCAATACAACGCTTCGTGGCCCCATAGGCAGCTCCACCGAAGCCCCCCAGTGCCACCGTCCGCATGCGTCCCGAAAGCCCAATGTGGCATTGCGTGGCCCCATCGGGAGCTCCACCGAAACCACCATTGGGACCGTCCACATGCGCCCCGAAAACCAATTTGGCATTTTCACTCACCCAGTACAGCGTATCGTGGCCCCATAGGGGGCCCCTCCGAAGCCACCAGTGGGACCGTCCACATGCGCCCCGAAAACCAACTTTGGCATTTTCACTCACCCAGTACGGCGCTCATGGCCCCATAGGGAGCTCCACCGAAGCCACCAAAATGACCGCCCGCATGCGTCCCGAAAACCAAATTTGGCATTTTCGCCTACCTGATACAACGTTGTTGGGCCCTATAGGGAGCTCCACCGAAGCCCCCAGTGGGACCGCCCGCATGCGTCCCACACGCCCAATTTTGGCATTTTCACACACCCGGTACAGCGCTTCGTGGCCCCATAAGGAGCCCCACCGAAGCCCCCACTGGGACTGCCCGCGAGCGTCCCACACACCTAATTTTGCATTTTCACCCACCCAGTACAGCGCTTCGTAGCCCCATAGGGAGCTCCACCGAAGCCCCCAATGGTACCAACCGCATGCCCCCCCCCCCCCCCCACACACACACACACACACACACACACACACACACACACACACACACACACACACACACACACACACACACACACACACACACACACACACACACGCACGCACACACACACACACACACACACACATACACACAAACACACACACACACACACACACACACAAACACACACACACACAAAGGCACACACACAATTTGGCATTTTCACTGGCCCAGTACAGCGCTTCGTGGCCCCTCAGGGAGCTCCACCGACGGCCCACGTGCTACCGCCCGCATGCATTCCCCCCCACCCGGTGCAGCCCTTCGTGGCCCCAGAGGGAGCTTCGCCGAAGAAGATATTCACAATTGCGGTGCCCATAACTGCATATGTCTGGGTCCTTCGCCAGGATAATTCTGGGTCGCCCAGATTGGGTCAGAGCAGATGGGGGCGGAGGATCGCGCAACATCGGCGATCGGGCTCTACATCGAGCTGCATCTAGAGGAAGAAAAGACGGCGTAAACATAAACTGTTGGCGGTTCGCGCGGATTTCTCGGATCTGCGCTGGAATCCCCCTCCCTGGCGCGCGAAACGCGCCAGGGGTAGCGCTGGAGGCGCCGCTGGGGGGGAGGTCCCAGCGCGAATCCGAGAACATTCATGCTTATGGCGTTTTTTTTTCGCCGGGTCAGAACAGATGGGGGTCGGATTAACACGCCGCGAGCCGCATTGCCGATGCATCGGCGATGCGGCGCGATCCCCCGAACCCATCTGCTCCGACCCCACCTGGGAGGCCTAGAAAGCTAGCACTTCGCCTTCCGCCCTTCCGCCGCCAGTTCCCGGCGGCGGGCCCGCCAGCTTCTGCCGGCCTCCTCCGCAGGCAAAGTGCGCCGAAGGCGAGGCTCCCTCTGGAAGTCTCAGCGGGAGTGCCGAGAGCCATAGAGCCCACGTCGTGCACACATCACGACCTCGAAAGTCTGCGCGCTCAAGCCCCTGCTGCGTCCGGTTACCCTAAGAGATGGGGTCTTGGGTGGGGGCGGGCGGAACAGAGCAGGTCACCTGGCGGGGAGGTGGCGACAGCAAGAGTGAGATGAGGGCGAGGGCGCGGGGGAGGAGGAGGAGGAGGCAGGTAGAGGAAGAGGGGGAGGAGGAAGAGTCAGCAGGAGGAGGAGGAACAGACGACGACGACGACGACGACGACAAGCCAGACGATGAACGAAAGGGGGGGCAACCAAGCGCCGAGATGGCGAAGCGACTACCGCCTCACATCCTCGGAAGCGACACCTGCAGGCCTGAAATGGCCCTCCAAGGCACACATATCCAAGGCCAGTCACCCTTGTGGCCGCGCCCAGCCACAGCCACAAGCGCGCCCGCGACTTCCCCCCCAGCAGATATCCTCCTCATCTCGGCCCCAGGACGAATAATGGAGGAGGTGGAGGGGGCGGACGAGTAGGAGGAGGAGGAGGGGGAGGAGGAGGGGGAGGTGGAGGAGGAGGAGAAGGAGGAGGAGGAGGAGGAAGAGGAGATGATGTATGAGGACGAAAGCGCTGACGCGTCGCAACGGCAACAAACATGAGCAGCAGGCGCCCGCGAAGGTCCCGGCGCGCTGTCGGCCGCCGCCGCCGCCTCCTCCACGGAGGAGAGGTCGTCGTCGGACACGGGCCCCTGCGGGGGCTGGGCGGGGCTCTCGAAATGCACACCGAGTCGGCCAGTCGGCCAGAGAGGGGGCATGCTGCGTAGACACGCCCGCGCGTGACGCTAGAAATATCTACACACCGAGCTGCTTCACAGAACTCTGTGGCTCTCCCTGGTCGGCAGAACGCCGTCAATAGGAAAGCCCCTGCGCCTACTGGGCGGCCCGCTCGACGGACGGGGACAATGCCCAAGCAAGGCCCAGGAATTTGCTCAGAGGGGTCCTACCGCGGCAGCCCTGGCTGACCTAAGCAGGTGCCCAGGGGTGCCCAGGGTGGTCTCAGCACCCAGCGCCGCGCGAGGCGCGGTCATCCCCGCGCGTTCGTGCTGTCCCCTGGAAGCTTCGGGGGAAGAACGCCTCCCCAGGCCGGACCGTGAGGCGCGATAGGTTCGCGCCCGTGTTTGGCCTAGATCGGCGCGCGCGGTCGGTGCACCCAGCCAAGGGCAAGTGGCACACAGAGCAGGGCAGGGCACCGATTGCCAGAAGCCAGGGTGGATCGACGAGGTCAAGAGACGCGAGGGAGCCATCGGATGGGCATTGCGGCGGGAGCTGCGGCGGCACCAGGAGAGGACACGCACGCTGCAGCCGGGGGTCGGTGCATGGAGAGGGTGGTGGGCGGGGGGGGGGGGGGAGCACGGCGGGGAGCAGCCCCTCCCGCAGGGAACATCGGAGCCCCTGCGCACGAGGAAACGGGGTCCCCACAACGTCGGGCGTTGGACCTGCTCCCCAGGACCAACACTTCATCGCGGGTCGTGTGGACGGCCCCGGGGCTTGAGGTCCGAAACTGGCGTCAAGCCAAAGAGGGCGTCAAATCAGAGAACCGTCTTTCTGAACACCCCGTCTCTGCATGGCGGCCATCGCCCTCATAACAGAATCCCCTTCAAATCTGTCACCATACCCGGGTAATACCCCCTCCCTCCCTCCCTCCCTCCCTCCCTCCCCCCGAGGGCTGCATCCCAGCTCAGTAATCTTTCGAGCTGCGTCAAGCGCGGCAACGAGGCACGAGACCCTCCAGACGCAACCCTAAACCTTGCGAAAGGGCCACGAAGACGAGCACGCACACCACCATCCGGCTCGAGCGAGAGGGGGGGGGGGGCGGCCTAGCGAATCAGAGGCATCTGTTCCCTCGGCGCCGCCCGGCGCCGGGAGCGACCATGTCTCGAGGAGAGGGCCCGGGCTGCACGCCGCAGGAAGTCGTACCGACGATGACGACACGGTCGACCTCGACGACTTCCCAGACTCCCGATGCTTTGAACGTTCGCATAACCGCGAGAAGCCATTAAGGACCCCCCCTGTGTTATCGTTAGCACCGAAAGGGAAATAAGTAATGCGCGGTGGCGGACTTAGCAGGTCGATATCTGTTGCACCGCGCCAAGACGCAAACATCAACAACTATTCCTCCTCTTGCTCCTCTTCCCTGTCCTCCTCTCCTTTCTCCTCCTCATCCTCTTCCTCCTCCTCTTCCTTTTCTGCCTCCTCCTCTTCCTCTTCCTCCACGGGATGCCCAGATAACGCTTCCGGATGCTGGATGCATTATCATTTCACGGGAAATGGGGGGTCCTCAATGGCTTCTCGCGGTTATTATGGGGTCCCCAGTGCTCATGGGCCACTTCCCAGGTGTAGTTTTGCGTCCCAGATCTGTTTCGGGCGTTGGCAGGATTGAGTTTTAGCGGGACCTGGTTTAGTGATGTGTGCCTGGGGACCCCCCCCCCAGCCCCATTCCACTAACCAGAACTGCCGTCACCCGCAGAACACCAGCTACGGCACCCCTGGCTTAGTCATGCCAGCCCATATCTTGGACTTCGGGACCCAATCACGAACCAGCTCCTCTTAGCCTGAAGTCGGGCCTGTCCCCCTACAGGGGGGTTTTGGACGAACAATGAAAACTATTCAGAAAATGCCCCAGAATGGTCAAAAAATACTAACCAAATAGTCCCCAGACTATTTTTTGACTATTTATTGAATATTCCCCCTGTTGAGGGACAGGCCTGACGTAAGTTTAGTGATGCCAGCCCATGTCTTGGACTTCGGGGCCCAATCACGAACCAGCTCCTCTCAGCCCAGGACCCGAGAACCAGCCGGGACCAGAGAACCGGCCCCAGGGGCCCAAGAGGAAAAACCACCAATCCTTTGCGGATGTCACGACACTGGGCACTCCAACAATCCGACCACTGAGTCCAACATGTGTTTAAAATGTGTAAAGCATGTTCCAAAGATGTTCCAAACATGGTTTTACATGTTTACAACATAGTTGAAACATGCTGTAGACATCTGGAATGTAATCGACTCCCGCGAAAAGAATACCGCATGGAGGAACAGAAATGCGGTCGTCGGAGGTCCAGGCCCCCTCCCCGCTCTCCCCCGAAGAATTCTCAGCCCTTTCCCAAGCCGCGGGCGTATAGTGTGTCGGTTCGCCTTTTGTTAGCAGCTGGAGACAACAGAAAGGTAGCGATACCGCGACTTCCTGGACCTCTCTCGGGGTGCGCGCTGACCAGAATTCCGAAGCGAATGCAGCTGTGGCGACGGGAGCCTCCCAGAAAAGGGACAACGAGGGAAGAAAAGCAAGATGGGTACATTCTCCTCCACTGAAAGAGCCACAACGCACGAACACGGCCCCGAGAAAACCGAAAACGACGAGCAGACACCGTCACTGCGCAGTTCGAGCCGCTGAAGCCCCGGGACGTCGCCTGGCGGGCACGGATTGGCCGACCGCGTCGCGCCCTCCAGGGGCCCCACGCCTGAGGCGCTGAAAGATTCTTCCTGGGGCTTACGGCCTGTGTTCCGTGTGTGTGTGGTTGTTGTCTTGTAGTGTGGGTTGTTGTTGGTTTCTGTTGTTCCTCACACACATACATAACAGACTATAAACCAACAAACAACTCTCACATACACACACGGGCACACACACACACGCGCACAGACACACACGCAAACACACACACACACACACACACGCACACACACACATGCACACACACACGCACACACACACACACAGGCACGCACGCACATATACACGCTCACACACACACACACACTCACACACACGAACTTTGAGTCGGCGGCGCAGAGGAGCATCAGGCGCGGTCGGCAGATGGAGGTGCCAATTGCGGACGAGCTTCTTCGAACGCGTCGTGATGAAAACGTCCAGTCACGGTCGTGCAAACAGGTTGTGAAAAAGTGAGGTGCTGTAAAGCCAAAGTGCATGGCCAACCAAACGGGGAACAGAAAGCTCGACTCGAAAAGTTGACGCGCCACCCGCAGTATGGTGCTAATTGGTGTCACTGGATCATTATGCAGATGATCGACAGCGAAAACAAAAAGACATACACCTGCAAAACTGCCAGACTAGCCGAAGGAAAGGTAACACTGAAGAATCTACGACCTGGCGAGACTGAAAGGTAAAATGCTGTCCTGCGAATAGACGGACGCCCGATTCAGAAACATAAAAGGCTGAGTGCTAGATTGGTGGTCGCGGAGCAGCACGCGTAGAGACAACGCACTTACAGGGCCGAAACCAAACTAATGAGGCCATGCCGTAAAACCCTTGTATGCCGCCGTGCTACCAAAAGAGGCGCTGCAATAGATGAGCCGACCTTTGGTAGGATAACCTCAGGCAGCGCAAGTACAGACGCGAGGTGCACTGTACGCACCGACGTCTAGGTCTCCACACACACACACACACGCGCACGCACACTTACACACAAAGACACACACACACACACGCACACGCAAAGACACACGCACACGCACACGCGCACACACACACACACACATACACGCACACACACACACACACACACGCACACGCACATACACATTGACGCACACACTGTGGGACCGTACGACACACCTCCTCCTGCGGGTCTGGCGCCAATGAATCAGAGACCTGTGTTCCATGGGGGCGGGGTGGGGTGGCGGGGATGAGGGGGGAGAGAGGCGGCGCAAGGGGCGGGCATTGGGCAGGGAAGTCGGCGGCGCGGCGCTGGGCGGCCTCTTCGTCACCCCGCGCAGCCCCCCTGCGGATTGTTTCGTTTGGTGTTTGTGTTTCCTGTGCCGTTTGTTCCTTTGCGCGGGGGGGGGGGAAGAGACGGGCTGTGTTTCATAGGGGGCGCGGTGAAGGGAAAGCGGCGGAAGTGGTGGCGAAAACCCGGCGCCACCTGCGCACGCTCGGACTGCCAGGCGCCAGATCTCATTCCCCCTATTTCTGCCGCCCTCCTCTCTCCTCCTCCTCCTGTTCCTGCGCTCGTTTCTCGGACAACGTCTGATCGTCGGCTGTTACCCTGCAAGGGCAGCCACGCCTGGATGGATGGATGGCGCAGCTCCTCCTGCCTTCTGCGGGGCGTGAAATGCTTCCTCCCTTCCTCCTCCTCCTCCTCCTCCTGACTACCTACCAGGCCACCCCAACCTAATCCGAAGACTCACATCCCGATTGGGGGAGGGCGGGTTCCACGCGTGTTTCCTCCAGGTGCTCCCCGACGCCCCCCCCCCCCCACTGAAATTGGTGGAGGGCACAGTGGGGCCTTCGGGTTGGGCTGGGGTGGCCTAGTGGTCCCCCCTCCTCCCAGAGCCGCGCGGCCAGGGCCCCAGGGGCGCAAGCGCTGCCAAGGCGCTCTCGCTGCGCCTCGGACGCATGGGCACACACACACACACACACACGCACTTCGCCATCGCTCGGACGTCCATTCCCTGTGTTTTTTTGTCGGTTTCGCGCGTGTTGTTTTCGGCAAATGGTCAGGGATGCGCCTCGATGGTCCTCGCCGAGGAAAAAAACGCACACGTCCGAGCGATGCCAGGACACTGAATGGATGAGATCAATGAACGATGAAGACCAGCGGCAGTAGCAGCAGCAAGCAGCGACGCCATCTGCACTCAATGGTTGTGTGAACGGTCTCGGGCAATGCCTACTCGAGCATGCGCCGTGCAAGGCTTCCGCGCATGCCGAAGCCAGATCTGACCCAAGCGCTGCGGCGAAGGCTCTTCCTCCCGTGGCAGAGCCCGCATGACTGAAGACAATCCCTCTCCTCAGACTTCCCCAGGGATCTGCATGCAGGCACGCGGGCCCGGTCTCCGGGTGATGAGCTGTGGCGTTTGTTCCCCTGGCTCTTTCCGGCCCTAGAGCTGAAAACGTGCATGGGCACAGCTAGAAACTAGAAACCCTGCGCGCACACGCACATCGCGACCACAATTGAAGGGAGGGTTTGCACAGATGTTCATCGACTACAGTCAAGACGTATAGGAAGGACGCGAGGTAAGGACGCAAGACCCTTGGAGGCCGAAGTTGGATTTTTGGGCCGGGGGGCGGCCAGTGAAAACGGCGAAGGACGGGCCGCAGAGGCAAGGACTCAAGGGTACCCTAGAGGAAGGCGCGCGTCCTCACTAGGCGCGTTGACCGTAGCTCTGATGGCTGGGCGGTTCAAGGATCTGGCGACTCGCTGCCTCAAGCGATGGTCGCTCGTGCCATCCCCACGGCAGGAGGCCTAGCGGCCTCCTCGCAGGCGCTGGAGGCAGTGCATGAAGAACGTGGCGGCCGTTGGGGCCACGCCTGTTGACTTGCTTGGGATGGGCGGGGGCGGGGTGTCGTCGAAGATGGCCCCCAGCCGCCTAACCAGCAGAGTCAACCGGATCGCTTCGAGACCAGGGGAAGTTCGCGATCGCACTCGTGCCGAATAATCCCAAGAGCGCAGTGCCAACGGCAGTCAGGATCGACGGCATCGCACCTGTCGACACCTACGGCGAGCGCCGACGCCTCCGCCGCCGGGCGCTGCCCCCCCGCCGGGCGCCTTCGGCAGGGCGCCGCCCAGCGAGGCCGACCCACTGGCCGCGACGCTCTCGCTGCGCCTCGGCACCCGCCGCGGGGGCGAGGCAGAAGATGGGCGAACCAAAAGGCACCGACGCCGCCACTCCGCAGACCTCTCCCCGGGTGCATTCCGACGGGTCTCGAGGCGAATGCAGCCGTGGCGACGAGGGCAGAAATGGGGGAAGCGAGGGCAGGGCAGCGGTATGGGTGCCTTGTCTTCCTTCTCTGAGCAACCTAGACATGCGACGTCCAGAATTTTTCAACGCGCGGTCCCCAGAAGTCCCGACCCTTTCCCCAGGTCCGGCTTTTCATCCTGAATCGTTTTTTGACGGTCCTGGGGAGCCTGGGAAAAGGGGCTGCTCCGCATCTTCCCGTTGCGAGGTGCCAGTTCTCTGCTGGCTCGCGGGTGCACCTGTGCACGCGCGCGTGCGGCGCACACTTCGACCACAACGCTGACCCCAACGGCCTCGTCCACGGGGTTGATATGATCACCAGAATTTTGATGTCGCCGCGCCGTTTGTTCTCGACACGCCCACGTGGACGACGCCGACACCACGGCAAACCCACAGCAAGCCCTTCGCCCCGCGCCCAACCAGGCGACGCCGGCACCGCGGCAGACCCCACGGGAAACCCGCCGTGCCCCAAGACGCAAGGCCGCGCGTCGGAACAAACGGCGCGGCGACAGATGCCCGTGACGGGATGAGGCGGAGACGAGTATAGGGGGCCACATGCGAACCCTACCCCTATCCCCCACGATTTCTGAGGGGGAGGGTGGGGTTCATTTCGTCTGGGAGCTCCCGAGCGAAGTGAACCCCACCCTCCCCCTCAGAAATCGTTGGGGGTAGGGGTAGGGTTCGCATGTGGCCCCCTACAAAAATGCACAAGCCTTGAACCCAAATCTTGGTGGTGGAGATTGGCCTTCGGGCCTGGCAGGAACCCGATATCCACCAAGACCTTTGCGACAACCGAACCATGCTCGCCAGCATGTGATACCCTGGGGCGAAATGGGCCTCTGGGGGCCCAGTGGCGGCAGATACGCGCCCTCTCCCGAAGACAGACGCAATCGACTATGAACAGAACGGCGCAGACGTCCAGCCCCTGCCGCGAAGGCCCGAAATAACGTGATGCATCATGGAACCGTGTCGGGCACGCCTGGCGGAAGCGACATCGCACCAATGATATCATCGCCCTTCGCCGCAACGGACTCCGCTTCCACATGCTACACATGTGAACACACATACATTCACCCTCTGGCTGAGAAGGAGGCTCGGGCGGTGGCAGGAACCAACGTCTCGCACGATGGGTCTCACTATCGATCTCACGATCGATCTCAATATCGGTCTTACGATCGATCTCGCTATCTCACGATCGATCTCACTAGTGATCCCACCATCAACCTCACTATCGGTATCATCGATCACACTATCGAACACGATATACCTATACAACCACCCTTCGGGTGATAAGGAGGTTCGGGGGGGGGAGGAACCAACGTCTCACTCGATCGGTCTCACTATCGATCTCACTATCGATCTCAGTATCGGTCTCGCTCGATCGATCTCCCTCGATCGATCTCGCAATCGATCTCACTCGATCTATCTCACAATTGATCTGACTATCGATCTCACAATCGATCTCACAATCGATCTCACAATCGATATCACATTCGGTCTCACGATCGATCTCACTATCGATATCACAACCGCTCCCACAATCAACGTCATCATTATCATCAACAACAACAACATCAACATCAACATCATCATCACAAACATCATCATAATCGGGACACAGTCCTCATCATCAACACCAACATCATCATCACCACGGTCATCAACATCATCGGGACACCACCATCATCATCATCATCACCATCACCACAATCATCATCATCAACATCAGCATCATCATCACAATCGGGACACAGTCATCGTCATCATCATCATCAGCAGCAGCATCATCATCGGGACACCATCATGATCACCATCGTGATCATCATCATCATGATCATCGGGGCACCATCATCATCATCATCGCATCCTCATCATGGACATCATCATGACCAGCATCATCAACATCATCAGCATCAGCATCATCATCATCATCATGGTCATCATCGGGGCACCATCATCATCATTACCAACATCAGCATCAACAGCATCATCATCACCATCGGGACGCCATCATCATCAACATCATCATCAGCATCACCATCATAATAATCATCATCATCGGGACGCCACAATCATCATCAACCTCGTCATCATCAACATCATCACCATTGGGACACAATCATATTCAGCATCATCAACATCAACATCATCATACTCATCATCATCGGGACACCATCATCGTCATCATCATGGTAATCAACATAGTCAGCATGATCATCATCATCCTCATCATCGGGGCACCATCAGCATCACCATCATCATCGTCATCATCATCATCGTCATCCTCATCATCATCATCGTCATCATCGGGACACCATCATCATGTCATCATCACCATCATCGTCCTCTTCATCACCATCATCATCAGCATAACCATCATCATCATCGTCATCATCATCATCAGCAGCATCATCATCAGCATCACGATCATCATCATCATCATCATCTCATCATCCATCATCTCATCTCATCATCATCATCATCATCATCATCATCATCATCATCATCATCATCATCATCATCATCGCGGGACACCGCGGGACACCGGCGGGACACCGCGGGGCACCGCGGGACACCGCGGGACACCGCGGGACACCGCGGGACACCGGGACACCGCGGGCCACCGGCCGCCCGGAAGGGAGTCATTTGGTCCGGCCGCGCCTCAGCCACACGGGACTTCCGCGGGACACGGCGGGACACCGCGGGCCACCGGCCGCCCGGAAGGGAATCATTTGGTCCGGCCGCGCCTCAGCCACAGGAGACTTTTTCTCGCCCGCCCACGCAGCTTCGCCTCGCCCGCACGCACGGCACGCACGAACACGAAACCGAAATCGATTTCCCGGTAGGGGGGCTCTCCGTTCCACTTCGATCTCACCCCCTCACCTCCGATCCCATTATTGATCTCACTATTGAAATCACTATCGGTCGGCCTATCGATCTCACAATCGATCCCACCACCTATATGATTATCGACATCACGATCGATCTCATCATAGATCTTACGATTGATCTCACTATCGATCTCACTATCGATCTCACTATCAATCTCACGATCGATGTCATTATTGATGGTGGGATTGACGGGTTCATCTTACTATCGTGTCAAGGGACATCACGGGGCACCGACGGGGCACCACGGGACACCACTTGACGCCGACGGACCACCGACGGGACACCGATGGGACACCGACGAACCCCGGCAACAGACAGCTCACCACCCACGGGGAGGGGGCATGTCTTTGTCCGGCCGCGCCCTAGCCAAAGGACAAATCATTCCCCTCGGGACACCAACAAAACACCGACGGGACACCGCGGGACACCACCAAGACACCATCGGGACAGCACAAGGACACCACAAGAACAACATCGGGGCAACAATCAGAACACCAACCCGGACACCACCAGGACACCACCTGGACACCACGGGACACCACGGGACACCAAACCACCATCGGGACACCAATCGGGACACCACGGAGACACCATCGGGACATCACCAAACACCATCGGGACACTTGTCGGACACCAATCGGGACACCGCGGGGAACCACGGGACCCCACCGGCGAGGGCGCGGGCTTCTGCCCTGGCGGCGCCCAAGCAATCGCCCGTCTGGTTGCCGATGGGGCTGCGGTGGCGATGTTGGTGATGTGCTCGCGAGCTGTTGACCATGCATGATGGCGATTCTGGTGACGATGCCTGATGGACACCATGTGGACATCATCGGCACACTATCGGGGCACCATTGGCACACCATCGTGGCACCATTGGGACACCATCGTGGCACCATCGGGACGCTATCGAAACATCGTCGAGACGCCATCGGGCCACCATGTGAACACCAGCGTCGCATCATCGGCACACCATGTGGACACCATCGGGACACCACGGCGGGACACCACCAGGGCACCATGGGTACACCATGTGAACACCGCACCATCGGGCCACCCATGTGTAGACCATGTGGAGACCGTCGGGACGCCATGTTCAAACCATGTGGGCATCATGTGGACACCACCGGAACACCATCGAGCCACCATGTAGTCACCATGTGGATACCATCGGAACACCATCGGCACACCATCGGGACACCATCGGGCCACAATCGGAACACCATCGAGACACCATCGGGACACCATCGGGACACCAGCGGGACATCATCAGAGACACCATCAGGACACCACCTGGACACCATCGGGACACCATCGGGACACCAGCGGCACACCATCGGAACACCATCGGGACGTCACTGGACACCATCGGGACACCTTGGGAGACCACTGTGACACCATCGGGACACCATCGGGACACCATCTGGACACCAGTGGGATACCACCAAAACACCATCGGGACACCATCGGATCACGATCTCACCCCCCAATCTCACCCCCCCAACCTCCGATATACATGCACAGACAATCCCCAAACTGTGTTTGCATTCAAGGTCTCTCACTTCTCTTCTAAGGGAACTGGGCCTGTGAGGCCTCGGCCCCACGTCCCCGGACCAACCGACGGACCACCCGGACCACCCCGCGGACGAATCGGACCATCCGACACAGGAAGAGGATAGGGAATGAAGAAGGACACAACGACGACCACGACGGCGACGGCGACGGCGACGGCGACGTCGACGTCGACGACGGCGACGACGACGAGGCAAGCACAAAAGATTTTGCGGATCTTTCGCTCCGCGAGCCTCTTACAGGCCTCTCGGAAGCCTTGGGGCAATCGTGAAAGCCTTCTTGTGGCTCTCTGAGGGTTCTTTGGGGCGGTCTTGACGGAACCTTCCGGCCCCGTGCTTTAAAAGGAGAGGTGGCATTAGTTACGGGTCTCCATTCAGAAGCCGAAAAATCATCTCTTGGGACCCTCT